TCAACAGCATGACTAGCGAGAGTGTATATCCTGTCTTAGGTACACTTGTATAATGGCCAAAAATTACGAAATGGCTTATTGAAAATAGTGCCCTTAGGCCCACAATTTGCTGCCTGAGTGGACAGATTTTAAGGTGCACGCTGGAGCGCCTGCTTGTTGAAAGGTATACATTTTGCAACTGAAGGAGGGTTGCATTGTGTTGCACGGGGAAGTATTTCAATGCATGACGAGGAGTGAGAAGCGAGGGGACTGTTTGTAAGTGATTACATAGTTGAAGCTCTTTCTAACAGAGCTGTAACTCATTTCCTTGTGTGTGTGTGTTTCTGTAATTGCGTCGTCGCACGGGTCCAAGGAAGGAAGTAAATATCACTAGAAAGCTCTAAGTCATTGTGAGTATAAAGAACCAGAAAGGCAAATGAGAGGAAGGAACTGGGATACGAGGACAGGGGAAAAGAATTGGTGCCCAATCACTTCGACCTTTAGGAATCGAATGCCGACCAGGTAAGATACAAGTCCGTTGATTGTACCGAGCAGTCCAAATTAATGAACATCAGAAATATAAACCTAAAAGGTTGCAAATGACCTTTTCAATTTGCACTTTTCAAATACTGAAATAAAAATTTATCAGAAGCAAATCACAAAATTATTTCCCCCTTGGTTCGTGCTCGAACTTACGAGACTCGGGCCAGCTACAGGATCTTGGAAAGGATTCACTAAGCACTTAAGTGACCAGTTGCGAGACCTGTACATCTTCCCCTCAATCATGGCGGCTGAGTGTGTGTTTAATAAATAATTTACGAGCTCGATAGCGCTCACGACCTTATTTTATTATTGTAATAAACAGCCTCGTAAAGTGCTTCGGGCTCATAAACTGTTTATAATAAATACAAACTAACTCGTCATAATTGAGGAAAGATGTACGGGTTTCGTTAGCGGTCACAAATGCTTGAGGAATCCTGGCCCATAAGTCAGGTTATTAAGCTCAATATTTTCCCTCCACACACACACACACACACACACACACACACACACACACACACACACACACACACACACACACACACACACACACACACACACACACAAACACACACACACACACACACACACACAAATCGTTTTACTCTGCCCAGGATTCGAATCCGGGTCTTCTCGTTTATAAGACGAGAGTACTAACCACAACCCCACAGAATACCACCAGGAGGAAGTATTATTGTACCTGAGTCTATTAAAGACGCATAATAGGTCTTTGTTATTGATAAACTGCTATTATAGCCTCAGGTTAAAGATTTTCAGATAACGTTTTTGCATCGACGAGGCAATTTTAAGGTGAGTGACATCAAGGGGGTGTCTGAAGGGAAGGACCTGTGGAAGGGGAGGAGGAGTTAGGGGGTGGAAGAGGTATGTTAGGGGGGGAGAAGGGTAGGGGAAGGGTAGGGGAAGGAGGTGTTGCAGCAGAGAGAGGGGGGGGGGGGGGGGGAGAGAATATTGGCTAAATAGATATTGAATGTCAATATTTTTCGTAAAATATGAGAATGAGTTGAGTATTTTTCCTCTGGTTTATTTATTGGATATCCGTCGCTAAGATGTCGATAAACCGGTTGTGAGCGTTCGACACCTTGAGACACACGCGGGGTGTCTCCTGACGCTGATTACAATCTTCATGCAAAGTGCTCACACGATGGAGGTGGGGGGGGGGGGGGGAGGAGGTAGGGGGGAAGACGGGGAAGAAGGAGGAGGAGGTAGGGAGGGAAGCCTAAGCCCTCACGACAGGGAAGTTCCAACTTGACGAGGTGTTTCTGTCGTCCGGAACAGGGGGAAGAGAGTTTCTTTTTTGAATTTGGAACTTCTCACACTGCTTAAAGCAGCTCATTTCCATGTCTCCAGCACTGCTTAAGCTGATCACTTCCGTGTCTCCAGCACTGCTTAAGCTGATCATTTCCGTGTCTCCAGCACTGATTAAGCTGATCATTTCCGTGTCTCCAGCACTGCTTAAGCTGATCATTTCCGTGTCTCCAGCACTGCTTAAGCTGATCATTTCCGTGTCTCCAGCACTGCTTAAGCTGATCACTTCCGTGTCTCCAGCACTAATTAAGCTGATCACTTCCGTGTCTCCAGCACTAATTAAGCTGATCACTTCCGTGTCTCCAGCACTGCTTAAGCTGATCACTTCCGTGTCTCCAGCACTGATTAAAGCAGCTCACTTCCGTGTCTCCAGCACTGATTAAAGCAGCTCACTTCCGTGTCTCCAGCACTGATTAAGCTGATCACTTCCGTGTCTCCAGCACTGATTAAGCTGATCACTTCCGTGTCTCCAGCACTGCTTAAGCTGCTCAGCGCTGCTCCCACTATCTATGCCACAATCAGCAATCTCTCCCGACGGCAGGCAGGAGCCATATTTTTTTTTTAGTTTACCCTCCCTCCATCCCAATTTCTATGCCACTAGACTTTATCATCAAGTAAAGTGTAAATTCTTTCATGAGAATAAAGTATATATATATATCGGACAGACTGAGGGAAAAATATTTTACCATAAAATGGAAATGAAGTATATTTTTTTAGCGAATTTCAGATGTTGCTATACGGGAAAAGAAACACAGAAATTGACCATAGCTCATGACTTCCTTGATCAACACTACTAACACCCGGAGAGCGCCATCTGTGACCTGGCACCATGTGTGTGCTGGCACATCTGTGTGCTGGCACCATGTGTGTGCTGGCACCATGTGTGTGCTGGCACATCTGTGTGCTGGCAGGACAGGTGGGAAGACCATTGAGACCATTCTGTAGCTCATTGTGGCTACAGAAAGTGGACGGCATATGAGGACAATGGGCTGGGATATGAGGACATGCAGCTGGGATATGAGGACATGAAGCTGGGATATGAGGACATGAAGCTGGGATATGAGGACATGAAGCTGGGATATGAGGACATGAAGCTGGGATATGAGTACATGGAACTGGGATATGAGGACATGCAGCTGGGATATGAGGATATGAAGCTGGGATATGAGGACATGCAGCTGGGATATGAGGACATGCAGCTGGGATATGAGGACATGCAGCTGGGATATGAGGACATGCAGCTGGGATATGAGGACATGCAGCTGGGATATGAGGACATGAAGCTGGGATATGAGGACATACAGCTGGGATATGAGGACATGGAGCTGGGACATGAGGACATGCAGCTGCAATATGAGTGCAAGAAACTGGTATATGAAGACGAAGTAGAGGATCGCTACCCAACCACTCGGAAAAATGGGAGATCGAACGCCAACCCTGCAAGAAGCGAGGCCGCTGCTCTTTACTTACTAAGCTAAGCTAAGTACACGGACAATTGGATTGGCTCAGGAGGGCGTTATTCTCTTCAAGGCTGAGGATCCTTCTTTTTTCATTTACAGGTAGTTCTTTTTCTCAACTATCGAGTGAATGGTTTGGCAAATGGTCTCGCTTCTGGCAGGATCGGCGTTCGATCCTCGATTTTCCAAATGGTTCAGCACCGTTCTTTCATTCCGTCCTCATATCCCAGCTTCATGTCCTCATATCCCAGTTTCATGTCCTCATATCCCAGCTTCATGTCCTCATATCCCAGCTTCATGTCCTCATATCCCAGCTTCATGTCCTAATATCCCAGCTTCATGTCCTCATATCCCAGCTTCATGTCCTCATATCCCAGCTTCATGTCCTAATATCCCAGTTTCATGTCCTCATATCCCAGCTCCATGTTCTCACATCCCAGCTTCATGTCCTCATATCCCAGCTTCATGTCCTCATATCCCATCTGCATGTCCTCATATCCCAGCTTCATGTCCTCATATCCCAGCTTCATGTTCTCATATCCCAGTTTCATGTCCTCATATCCCAGCTTCGTGTCCTCATATCCCAGCTTCGTGTCCTCATATCCCAGCTTCATGTCCTCATATCCCAGCTCCATGTCCTCATATCCCATCTGCATGTCCTCATATCCCTTGCAAGTGCTACATGGTCCTACCACATTATCGATTTCTCTTCACAATAATGCAAGAGAGATAGGAGAGGGAGATTAGGGGACAGACTATAGAGGGAAGCAAAAAAGGTGAGAGAGGGGAAGGGGATTACATTAGGGTGGCTTGGGTTAAGTTAGGATTAGTTAAGTTAGGTGAGGTGAGCTTAGGCTTTGGTGAGAGTGTGAGTGTGTATTCACCTAGTTATAGTCACCTAGTTGTGCTTGCGGGGGTTGAGCTCCGCTCTTTCGGCCCGCCTCTCAACTGTCAATCAACTGTTACTAACTACTATTTTTTCCCATATCACACACACATACACACACACAGCAGGAAGCAGCCCGAGACAGCTGACTAACTCCCAGGTACCTATTTACTGCTAGGTAACAGTAGCATTAGGGTGAAAGAAACTCTGCTTATTGGTTCTCGCCGGCTCCCGGGATCGAACCCGGGACAACAGGATCACGCGTCCAGCGTGCTGTCCGTTCAGCCACCGGCCCCCTGCTCAGCCATCGGCCCCCTGTGTGTGTGTAATTTTTTTTTAGCTAAGTGTAGTTACAGGATGAGAGCTACGCTCGTGGTGTCCCGTCTTCCCAACACTCTTTGTCATATAACGCTTTGAAAACACACGTGTGTGTGTGTGTGTGTGTGTGTGTGTGTGTGTGTGTGTGTGTGTGTGTGTGTGTGTGTGTGTGTGTGTGTGTGTGTGTGTGTGTGTGTGTGTGTGTGTGTGTGTGTGTGCGCGCGCGTGCGTGCGTGCGCGTGCGTGTGTGTGTGTGTGTGTGTGTGGAACACGGGATATGAGAGAGTGTGAAATGTGTCAATGAAAGTGACTAATTGAGAACCTTTCGCTTCAAGTGGAAAATTGTCATTTTTTTGTCAACAATTCTCAATAATGAATTTTTCATCTGATCTCTAAACCGTCACTTCAGAGTTTTGTTTGTTGTTTGTTTTGTTTGTTTGTGTTGGTGCTACTTTACTAGGCTGCCCTCAGTGTGCTCAATACCCTCAGTGTGATCACACACCCTCAGTGTGCTCAACACCCTCAGTGTGCTCAACACCCTCAGTGTGCTCAACACCCTCAGTGTGCTCAACACCCTCAGTGTGCTCAACACCCTCAGTGTGCTCAACACCCTCAGTGTGCTCAACACCCTCAGTGTGCTCAACACCCTCAGTGTGCTCAACACCCTCAGTGTGCTCAACACCCTCAGTGTGCTCAACACCCTCAGTGTGCTCAACACCCTCACTGTGCTCAACACCCTCAGTGTGCTCAACACCCTCAGTGTGCTCAACACCCTCAGTGTGCTCAACACCCTCACTGTGCTCAACACCCTCAGTGTGCTCAACACCCTCACTGTGCTCAACACCCTCAGTGTGCTCAACACCCTCAGTGTGCTCAACACCCTCAGTGTGCTCAACACCCTCAGTGTGCTCAACACCCTCACTGTGCTCAACACCCTCAGTGTGCTCAACACCCTCAGTGTGATCAACACCCTCACTGTGCTCAACACCCTCAGTGTGCTCAACACCCTCAGTGTGCTCAACACCCTCAGTGTGCTCAACACCCTCAGTGTGCTCAACACCCTCAGTGTGCTCAACACCCTCACTGTGCTCAACACCCTCAGTGTGCTCAACACCCTCAGTGTGCTCAACACCCTCAGTGTGCTCAACACCCTCAGTGTGCTCAACACCCTCACTGTGCTCAACACCCTCAGTGTGCTCAACACCCTCAGTGTGCTCAACACCCTCAGTGTGCTCAACACCCTCAGTGTGCTCAACACCCTCAGTGTGATCAACACCCTCAGTGTGCTCAACACCCTCAGTGTGATCAACACCCTCAGTGTGCTCAACACCCTCAGTGTGCTCAACACCCTCAGTGTGATCAACACCCTCAGTGTGCTCAACACCCTCAGTGTGATCAACACCCTCAGTGTGCTCAACACCCTCAGTGTGCTCAACACCCTCAGTGTCCTCAACACCCTCACTGTGCTCACACACCCTCACTGTGCTCCCACACACACATCCTACACAGGACTGCAATGTCGAGTCCTACACAGGACTCCAATACATTGGAGTTACCTAAGCAAGGCCACAACACCAACATATTCCACCCCCTACAAAGGAGTAGACTCCACGGTCAAACCAATACAGCAACTCTACTCTTGCAACACTAGTGCATGTAACACTTCAACCTATTTTAACGAGAAAATGAGAAAAAACACAAAACAAAATTATTCACTGAGCACCGGTGTCATTTAATTTCTCGCTTGTTCATTTATTTTATGGTGTAATGAATTGGCGATAAATATTAAAAAAAAAAACACTACGTCACAATTTTTTTGCAAAATGGACTTGATGATATTAGCGAATATATGAATATACAGGTGCGTTCATAAATAATTATGAACATCGAATTTTTGATCATTTTTCTACCGGCACTGATTCACCTGTTCCATCATTCCCTCTCTTCCAGCATACACTGATAAAATACAGTACGAAAGTGGGTTCAGTATGGTCAATAGATTCTGATATCGTTGCTATCTCGGGCTGAAGAGCTGCTTCACTCTGGGTATTGTATCTATGGGTGCAATGTCTTCTATATAGCGTCTTCGACGATATCAAATTCGAAGAAAATATATGGATAAATACCCTAATTCAGACACATATGAAACTCAATGAATATTGCGACGTTTCAGTTCGCCTTGAATTATTATCACCATCTTCACCTTCATATATTCCTTCACCTTCACCATCTACACCACCCACATCTTTATCTGCACCTTCATAAACACCATCTTCTACATATTCCCCCGCATCTTCACCAACACCTTCATCTGCACATTCATCAAATTTACACCTTCATCTACCCCATCAGATTCATCATCTACACACTCTCCAACACCTTCGCATACACCTACACCAATATACCCCCCGCATCTACATCGTCTCCCGCTAGCAAATCCCTATTCGTAAGCGTTCCCCTTGTCTCTTGATTTACAATAACTAGACAATTACAATAACTGTCTAATATGATCATACGAGTGTTACAACTCATTTATAGAACGCTCAGTTATTCTAACACATTACACCTGGTTGTGTTCCGACGCCAAACTTCTCCTACACGACAACTGATTAGTATTGAACTACATTTTGGTCTTGCTTCGTGAACCCGCTAAAGAATATTGTGGTATTAAACGCTACAGAATATCGTCGTCTTTTGGAAAAGAACACATAAACCAAGGTCTATTTCTCCTAATTCTACCCATATTGTTTACTGGTTATACAGGTTGTCTACACTAAGCCTTTATGTAGCTTCCAATCACAGCTTAAATTAAACCATTATGAAGCTCCCAATCACAACTTAACGTATACAAGAAACATGAGAAAATGAACTCATTTTTCCAGTTTACAAAAACATTCAATAGTATATATATTGTATGTATATTGATTTATAGTTTGTCTTAAATTAAGAAAATATTATCCTAAATTTTAAATTGAAATAATGCTGTGATTCGAAGCTTCATTAAAGAGCTCATGTAGACCCGGGAGCGGAACCGGTTGGGCGCCGATTGGCCGAGCGGACAGCACGCTGTACTTGTGATCCTGTGGTCCTGGGTTCGATCCCAGGCGCCGGCGAGAAACAATGGGCAGAGTTTCTTTCACCCTATGCCCCTGTTACCTAGCAGTAAAATAGGTACCTGGGTGTTAGTCAGCTGTCACGGGCTGCTTCCTGGGGGTGTACGCCTGGTCGAGGACCGGGCCGCGGGGACACTAAAGCCCCGAAATCATCTCAAGATAACCTCAAGATTGACCCTCCTATTTCTTCCACCATTTCACCTGAAATGAAATATTCGTTTAAAACGTCACAAGTGCACTAAAGTTTTCCCTGCACATATGTCGTGTGTGTGTGTGTGTGTGTGTGTGTGTGTGTGTGTGTGTGTCTGTGTGTGTGTGTATGTGTGTGTGTGTGTGTGTGTGTGTGTGTGTGTGTGTGTGTGTGTGTGTGTGTGTGTGTGTGTGTGTGTGTGTGTGTGTGTGTGTGTTTCAGGAATCACCACGCGTCGTCGCATCTAAACGAAGCCGGCGAGCGCAAATCGGCAAAGCATGAAAGCAATGATTGTGTTTTGATTGGCAGTGTTTCCACAAAGCAAGACTCAGGTATCAGGTTTACATAGCTCGTGTTCTCCAGCTCGGAATTAAACTCTGGTATACAGGCAGATGATCCAATCTGGGATTTATCCTTCGGCCCCAGAACGAAATTTAGGAGTTTCTGTTATATATAAAAGATTCACAAAAATTCACAAAAATGGCGGTATTTGCCCTGTATATTACAAGCGAGTCACCCTAATTGCCTCAGAACCATTTGCGAATACGATTTGACAATAGCTGTATATTTTAAAGCATTGAAAGAGACATTATGGAAGGATGCAGTAGCTGGCAGATTTGCGAGCTAACGAGCAATTACAATGGAATTCCACTTATAGTCCTCCTGTTGTTCGATATTGGTTCAACGGAATACGGCGTAAAGGTTCACGCGTTGGTGTTTTATTGACAACATTGTGGAGATGGTAGGAACACCTGCCTCTACGGTAGGAAAGGTGTAGTGTAATGAAGTGAATTTGTTTACGAATCCACAATACCTGAACAAAATTGGCTGTTGGTGTATATTATATATATATATATATATATATATATATATATAGGGGGTACCACCACTGGTGCATTTATAGGGACCCACAGCCTCAGAGAAGGGAACACAGAGCACTCAGGGAAAAACTTGACATTTAACTCTGAATATATATATATATATATATATATATATATATATATATATATATATATATATATATATATATATATATATATATATATATATATATATATATATATGTCGTACCTAATAGCCAGAACGCACTTCTCAGCCTACTATTCAAGGCCCGATTTGCCTAATAAGCCAAGTTTTCATGAATTAATGTTTTTTCGTCTACCTAACCGACCTAACCTAACCTAACCTAGCTTTTTTTGGCTACCTAACCTAACCTTACCTATAAATATAGGTTAGGTTAGGTTAGGTAGGGTTGGTTAGGTTCGGTCATATATCTACGTTAATTTTAACTCCAATAAAAAAAAATTGACCTCATACATGGAAAAAAGGGTTGCTTTATCATTTCATAAGAAAAAAATTATAGTAAATATATTAATTCAGGAAAACTTGGCTTATTAGGCAAATCGGGCCTTGAATAGTAGGCTGAGAAGTGAGTTCTGGCTACTAGGTACGACATATATATATATATATATATATATATATATATATATATATATATATATATATATATGTCGTACCTAGTAGCCAGAACTCACTTCTCAGCCTACTATGCAAGGCCCGATTTGCCTAATAAGCCAAGTTTTCATGAATTAATGTTTTTTCGTCTACCTAACCTACCTAACCTAACCTAACCTAGCTTTTTTTGGCTACCTAACCTAACCTTACCTACAAAGATAGGTTAGGTTAGGTTAGGTAGGGTTGGTTAGGTTCGGTCATATATCTACGTTAATTTTAACTCCAATAAAAAAAAAATTGACCTCATACATAGTGAAAAAGACAGCTTTATCATTTCATAAGAAAAATATTATAGAAAATATATTAATTCAGGAAAACTTGGCTTATTAGGCAAATCGGGCCTTGCATAGTAGGCTGAGAAGTGAGTTCTGGCTACTAGGTACGACATATATATATATATATATATATATATATATATATATATATATATATATATATATATATATATATATATATATATATATACATGCATTTACTACCAACTTTATCCCTTTAAACTTTTAAGGGATTTTGACATTTATGCCTTAGTTGCTTGGTTGAATTTTAAACACACATTAAGTGGCATGTTTTCCTAGAACATAATCCGCCAATTGCTTTATATCTAGGTTCCTCCATTACTGCTGTACATGTTGATCTCACTTTGGCCTTGGCTAATGTGTTTCTGCATATATATATATATATATCTCTGTCATTATAATATTTCAGTGTGTCGAAGTTTTGCTCAAAGAGAAGAATATTCTTCTCAATCTTGTCCATCTGGAAACATAATCATTTGCCTCCCAGGACGTCCTCTAAGGTCTCCCTCTAAGGTTTGTCTACCAGGGATAACTTCAAAGGTATTCGTTCTCAGCTACTTTCCAGGTATGTATCCTCCTCTGGGTTCTCTCCCAGATCTGCCTACCAGGCTTCTCTCTCTTCCAGATATTCTTGCTAGAGGTTCTCTCTCTGATCTTCCTATTAGGGTTCCCTTCTAGGGCTTGCTCCTCCTCTTCTGTCTCATTCATTTCCAACTAGAATGACACCCAAATCCCACAGACGTTATTACATGACCCTGTCTCATGCTTCCTGTGACCTCTCCTAGATCATGGACTCAAGTGTAGGAATTATCTGTGGTTATTAGGTTCTCAGAAGTGCTTAGGTCAGTCTCTCAGTCTTCTACCCCCCCTCCCTCTCTCCCTCCCCCTCTCTCTCGCTCTCTCTCTCTCTCTCACTTCTGTTTATTTCAAGATATGTATGTCTTTTCAAACTAATTTTTATTATACTGGAGCTTGCTTTCAGAAGAGAGAAAACATATGTATTCAATATGACAGGCAAAAATATGTAGCGAGTCAATATATTAGACAACCGACGGTTAGAAAGGCGGGGTCCAAGAGCTAACAGCTCGATCCTGCAGGCAGAAACAATAAATACAACTAGTGAATACCCAACCCCCCCCACCCCCCCACCCCCACCCTCCCTACACACACACACACACCCAACAATTTTTTCGCATATATATATATATATATATATATATATATATATATATATATATATATATATATATATATATATATATATATATATATATATAATATATATACACAATATATCGCATATAAATAATGTTCTCAAGTGCTCAGTACAAAAGGAAAGAAAATTCCACACAATTTACGACACGCATAGATCCTGCGGCTTCCCGCGACCCATCGTAACATCTCGAACTTAAATGCATTACTTAAAGTTATGACCCGGTATTCATTACTTAAGGGTAGTTAGCCGTGAAAGTGACTTAAGAGCCCCCCCACTCCTCCCTCTCCTATATTTTCCTCAGGTTAATTACCTAAAAATATATGAAATCATCATTATAGACTTTTTTTGTTTTTGTTTTTGTAAGGCTCGCCAAACTTTTGGGGGTTCCCCTCTTAGCTCTCTGGTCAGAATGTTGATGGGTAACTTCTGTGCTGCAACTTTCCTGCCGTGTTCGTCACTGGTAATTTATTTCTGTCTCTTTCTAATTCCTCAAAACCGGGGGTTTTTCACCTTTCTCATTCCTCAAAACCGGGGTTTTTTCACCTTTCTCATTCCTCAAAACCGGGGTTTTTTCACCTTTCTCATTCCTCAAAACCGGGGGTTTTTCACCTTTCTCATTCCTCAAAACCGGGTTTTTTTCACCTTTCTCATTCCTCAAAACCGGGGGTTTTTCACCTTTCTCATTCCTCAAAACCGGGGTTTTTTCACCTTTCTCATTCAACAAATAATCGCTTTTACATCAGTTCGTCTTGATCATGTCTTCAAAAGCTCAAATGTTCGGACCCAGATCTGAAGGTGGATCAGAGTCAAACTTCCCAAACCCTGTGTTTACGGCTCTCTGTCAGGTTAAATAGCGTGCGCTGACGTACTCCCCCCCCACACACACACGCACACACACACACCAACATACACACACACACACACACACACACACACACACACACACACACACACCAACACACCCACACACACTGCTGGTTGGTGTTCCGTCTCCTCAGTGGGTCACGTTGTTTGTCATGGGTCACTATGCCCGTGACAGTTCCCGTTGATTGTTTTGTCACGGGTCACTGCTACACAAACAGCTCATGTTTGATAGTCTGTCATTGCTAAATGGGAAACTAACGACGAATGTAGAGTGTTCCTCATTGGTCACTGTCAACGCAACAGCTCACGTTCATTATTTTGTCATGTGTGAAGGTAATAATAGCAGAGAGAGAGAGAGGGAGAGAGAGAGAGAGAGAGAGAGAGAGAGAGAGAGAGAGAGAGAGAGAGAGAGAGAGAGAGAGAGAGAGACAGACAGAAACAGTCAGAAAACAAAGGGGTGGCGAAATTTTCCACCACCAACTTCATAGTCTTTCTGAACAGCACCGTCAGCAGGTGTCTCCACAGGTGTTTAACCTTTGACTCAGCGGCAAAGCACAGGCGGGGAACCAGACAAGCCAGCAGTCCTACTCAGTAACTAGACATCTTCCTAGTGGAGCAACATGGAGCTTACTGCTGCAAGACTTAAAAATCGTCACCACTGCCCCAGAGACAATCCACCAGGAAGACACCTGTCGAAGCAACATTAGCGTCCTCATTCACAGCTTCGTGAAGATAATGCGAGAACCATTGCGCCAAGATTCCCGAGAACATTGCTAAGGAGGCCGGTCTATACCTTCTGAATGTGACAGGCTGGGGTTAAGGGAATTCAAAATTCTTTCAAGAAATCAATACACCCTCAAATGTCTTAATTATCATAGATAAACTAGCAAATATGTTTTTTTTCAACAGGGCATAAATTCTAATACTTCAATACTTGTATGCAATGTCCAAACGCCTACTTTGGTCCTTACTCAATCCACTCTCCGATGGACAATTTAGTCTAGATTCTCGAATCCCAACTAATGGAGCATAAATCAGCACACGAGAGTTTAGACAGACAGTGAAAAGAATGTTTATACCAAGATAATTTCATGGAGACTCAGCAATTTTCGACTTGGAAGATTTTGTGACCATTCCAGTTTACATCTCCTGGGATATTTGAGATCGCCAGGCTGCCATCAATATAACTTTTATCTCTAAAAGTTATCTCTTTTATCTCTAAAAGTTATCTCTTTTATCTCTAAAAGTTATCCCGACGGTTATCTCAACAAGTTAGAGTGGAGGACTAACTAGCACAGCCTGGCTATGGTACGTATGGACGTGGCCAGCCCTCTGTTTAGTACAGGCCGTGTACCCAATTAGTTTACCTACACCAGTGGATACCAACAGTGTACCCAATTAGTTTACCTACACCAGTGGATACCAACAGTGTGCCCCATTAGTAGACACCAACAGTGTACCTCCACCAGTAGACACTAACAGTGTACCTCCACCAGTGAACATCAACAGTGTACACCTCCTCCAGTACACTTCAAAAGTGTACCACACCTCTGCACCTCACAAGAAATCTCCAATAGCTTATAAAACTTGCCTCCCTCAGTGTACATCCAAAACGAGTGCTTCCCAGTGAAATATCCGACCAGTATATTGCAGAAATACACCCCAAGAGCATGCACATAACTTGTGCTCCCCAAGCAGCATACCTGACCAGTAATCAGGAAGCAACACCCTCCTGTAGAAAGCGACATCATCCTACAGGAGACATCCGCCTTCAACAGTAAGCAAGATCCTCCTGGAACAGGACATCGTTCTCCCCCACCCACCGACAGAATATTGCCCTCTGCCATCATAAGAATGAAGTAATCTCCAGCAAATGCTGCCGAGCTTATGATCTGATCAATACTTCGCGTCTTCCTGATAGTCTTGACAGCTCAGTGAAGCGGAGGGAAATGGAATATTTATGGTGAATTTCTGAAAGGACGTTGGGGGGCGATTGGATATTAGGAGAGGGAGTAGAAGGGGGTGGTAGGGATTTGAGTGAGGGGGGAAAATGTTGGGGAAGTTAGGGAGTGAAAGGGCTGGTGGGGGAGATAAGGTTGGGGGCGGGGGGAAGATAGGGAGTTCAGGTAAGGAAGGGAAGGGTTATCAGGGGAAAGCGACAAGCAATTACGACTATATAGCACTAGGAAGGGGTCAGGATAAGGATTTGGGATGCGACGGGGTGGGGGGGGGGGGGAAGGAATGGTGCCCAACCACTTGGATGGTCGGGGATTGAACGCCGACCTGCATGAAGCGAGACCGTCGCTCTACCGTCCAGCCCAAGTGATTGGGGTTCAGGTAAGGAGTGATAGGGAGTTTAAAGAGAGGGAGAGATGTAGAGTTTACGTAGTGGACATTTCTACATCCGTGTAAAGGTGGGTAAGAGAAGGGGGAAGAGATGGGTTGGGGAGAAGGGGGAGAGGGGAAAATAGAATTTTTGAGTGTCCTAAAGCGCGACAAATCAATGAATAATCCGGAAAAAAATGTGTAATCCGTCTGTAGGCGAGCCAGAACTCTGTCGAGGAGATGAAAGGATTAGCGGAACAGTTGAGGAATTAAAATGCTGGTCAGGTCTGAGGTGTGTGGAAGCCATCATGCCTACTCCGTTATTACCTGCTCTCACTGGTGGAGATGGCAAGATGTCACGGTATGACCACACACTGTGTCACCCCCCCCCCTCCCTCCCTGTGTGTCAGAGAGGAGGAGTGACTACACACCCCCACTCACCTGTGTGTCAGAGGTGACTACACACCCTCACTCACCTGTGTGTCAGAGAGGGTGTGACTACACTCAGCAGTGTGTCAGAGTGAGTGAAGGCGGTACCCGGCTGTAACATTGTTACCCAATGTTACCTCTGGTAGTTGAAAACGTATGAGTGAAGTCCGTAGAGTTAGATCATCCTTTATTTATCCACACTCATTCAGGGTAATGATCAATTTCATCCAAATTTGAGTACAGACATTGCAAAAAGAGTCACTGCTTTCACACTATTACCTCATCCTCACTTACTGTTACCGCGTTTGTCCTGTTACTGTTAAAACACTCACTGCTTCCATATACTGTCACACTAACCATATTATCACTGCTATTTCAATGTCACCGTTCCCACACTGCCACTGCTACGTACACAATGTCACTATCACTGTTTCAGTACTGGAAATAAGGCGCCTAACCTGGACCAGATGATGGTGTTGGTAGCCAAGCTCAAGGTATCAACTAGTCATACAAATCTATATTTACGATTTACATGAATTTACCAGAGTAACACATGTGGTGATATTTGCGTCAAAATGAATGCGATATTTTATGAATCCTATGCTGTGAATTCATTGTCAAACTGTGCATTATAACACGGTTAATGCGTCCTCTCAGATGCAGCATTAACAAACTTTTCCGCTTCAGTGTAAGCTCAGTAGCTGCTAGTTAAGGCGAATTACAAGAGTCTTCAAACTTTTACCATTAAAAGTGCGGCAGTTAGCCGCATCGACACGGTCTAGTCTCTGTCATAATCTACAACTTATTTTGCTGCTTGTGGTGACAGGACCAGACAGGGAACCGTCACTTTCAACCCGTCTCTCGCTTATAACGT